GCACCCCCAGAGGGACCACCCTCAGGGCGACCGGGACGAGCACCCCCAGAGTCAGCGAACGGGGGCTGCGACGGCGGCGGCGGCGGCGGCGACGGAAACGGCTGCAGCGGCGGCAGGGGCGGCGGAGGAGGGGACTGGGGAGGGGACACCTGGGGAGGGGCGGCCGGCGAGGACTGCACCGGAGGGCCACCAGAGTCAGAAGACTCCTCAACCGGGTCCACGGACGGAAGGGGGGTGACGTGGGAGACACCAGAGGGGGCGGGACGGGGAGGAGGAGGAGGAGGGGCAGGGACTACCGGGGAAGGGGTGACCAGGAACAGGGGGGGGTAACCGGGGGACCACGGTGGGGGAAGCGGCGGTAGTAGGAGACGGACTCGTCAAAGGTGACGTCACGAGAGTGAAAGAAGCGGTGAGACGGCGGGTGGTAAAAGTGCCAGTTGGACGCGTCAAGGGGAAAACCGAGGAAGACGCAGGGAAGGGTGCGGGCAGTGAGCTTGTCCGTGCCGGAGGCACGGACGTGAGCAAGGCAGCCCCAGACGTGGAACGCAGACGCGTCACCAGGAGACCCAGTCCACAGACGGGTCGGCGAAACCTGCGGCTGCTGAGGGTGCGGCCACAGGTTAAGCTGGTGAGAAGCGTAGCGCACAGCGAACGGCCACAGAAAATGGGGTGCACCGGCATGGACCATGGAGGTGCGAGCGACCTCCATGACCAAGCCGATGCGTCGCTCAGCGACCCCATTCTGCTGTGGGGAGTCCGGTAGGGTGAACGTCTGGGTGATGCCCTCCGCACGACAAAAGCGACCAAGGACACTTGAGGCAAACTCGCCACCACGGTCTGAGTGAAGACGCAAGACAGGGAGACCGCGGTGGACACGCGCAGAGACAAGCCAGGGGATGAGGGCGCCAGGCACGTCGGCCTTGCGCTCCAGGGGAAAGACTGTGGTGTAACGAGTGAAGTCGTCGACAAGCACAAGGAAGTAGCGCTCGCGACGCGGCCCAGGGACGGGGGCGGGGCCCCAGACGTCCAGGTGCAGGGTCTGCAGCGGCGCGGCCGTAAGGGGGAACGAGGAGGAGTGAGGGGCACGGCGAAGCCGACCCTCGACACAAGGCGTGCAAGGTGGAGCTGGGGAGGAGGGAAACGCGGGGAGTGAACCTGGGAGACCAAGGACAAGACCGTGCTGGGACATGTAACGCAGACGCGGGAGCGCAGGGTGACCTAGGCGGTGGTGCCACAGGAGGGTCGGGTGAGTGAGGGAGCGACAGGAGCAGGCAGCAGCAACCTGGGTAGACACAGCCACCTGAGGGGGCGCTCCAGCCGGGGGGGCCACGGTGTCCAGAGTGAACAGGCCGGACACCGGGTCCCGGGGGAACGTGGACAGGGGGGCACCAGTGGCAGCCTCGGTACAGACAGCATACCGCTCGTGACCAGGGAACGTAGTGGTGACGCCAAGGTCCTGGAGGCAGCCGACACCAACTAGGTTCCTGGAGAACGAGGGGATATGCAGACCTGTAAGAGAGCCCGAAGGAACCGCCGGACAGGGAAGGGTGGTGGAACTGCGGGCGACTACCGGACCGCCGGAGGGGTCAGCAAGAGAAACGGCAGCAGGAACAGGAAGCGGCGTCAGGGTGGTGGAGTCGCGGAAGAAACACCGAGAGGCGCCAGAGTCCAAGGTGAAGGAAAGCGAAGCCGAGGCGTCTGGCGACGGAACGACGGCAGAAGCACCAAGACTACACAAAGCAGGGGATCCTACGCCTGACGCAGCAGGGGAGGCTAAGCTAGGCACACCTACACTAGGCAAGAGTGAGTAATTGGCGGGAAGCACACTAGAGTCATCAGCATACATCACATGCAGAGCAGAAACAATGGCATCCATGTCCAGATCAAAGATCGGAATCTTACGACTAAGAAAACTGTGCCAGTCCGGGAGGTCGGGCGACGGGCCGAAGCGCTGACGAAAGAGGTCGTCCAGGCGACGAAAACAGCGGGGAGTGGAGTGACCGATCTTACCGCAAACGAAGCCGCGGCGAGGACCGGTCTGGATCTGGTACTGACAACGCCCGCCGGCAGAGACACCACGCGGCACACCACCACGCGCCCGTCCACCGCCAGCGCCGGGCCACCCTGGCGGGAGGACACTCGTCTGCCGCGTCTGCAACGGCTGATGCGGCTGCTGCGAAGGCTGCGACTGCGGCGGCTGCTGCGGCTGCTGCAACTGCAGGGGCGGCGACTCAGCTGGACTGGGCAGGGTCCCCTCGTCCGCTCCAGCACCAGGCGACCCGACCCCACCACTACCCCCGCCCGCACCCCCGCCGCCCCCTCCGCCGCGCCCAGCCTTGGGGCGGCGGCCCTTCCCAGAATGGGCCTGCGCTGCAGCAGCAGTCTCAGCCACTGCGGCAGAGCCGTCGGAGAAGGTGCACTGAGCGGGGGCACAACCCTGAAAGATAGGGACCGGCACGACACCGCTCACCTGGGCGATGGAGCGGTGACGGGTCTCTATCACAGTCAGGGTGTCGACAAAGTCAGTGAGGGTGAGGTCTGCGGGGTGAACACTAAGGAAGCGGTCGCGGGCGACAGCAAGGCGGTCAGGGAGGCGGGTGGCAAGCAGGTAGAGGGTAGAGGAAATGGGCGGCTGGTGGGCTCTAAGCTGTACGTCAGTGCAGGCTGCGCGCCAGGTCTCCTCTATCGAGCGCAGGTGGGCAGCGAGGTCAGAGACAGTGGGGAAAGAAGCAAGGTCAGGAAAGAGCAGCGGGAGGATCAGGCGACCCACCGAGGCAGCCGGAGGGGTGGAATAGCGCTTGATGACAGCATCTAAGTATGCCTGAGCAGTAGTGAGGGACCTAAAGCGAGGATGCTCGGACGGGGGGAGGGCGTTGCTAATGGCAAGCTGGGCGACAGCATCGCGAGAAAGCCAAACAGAGCGCGCACGGGCAGTGGCAGCAGAAGACTCACGCTCAGTGGGTGTGGGGTCAGCGGGCAGTATAGCAGGAGGGTCTGGGCAGGGGAGCGTACCGTCAAGGTGTGCGGAAAGCGGTTCACCATCCTACCGCTGGCCAGTGAGTTGGCGGCGGAGGTCGGCAAGCCACGCTTCGAACTCTACGGGCTGACCTTCAGCGTCGAAGCGAAGCTCCGCCGCCATCAAGAACAGTCCAGTGCGGTGCAGGGCGGTGCAGTGCAGTGCAGTGCGGTACAGTGCGGTGCAGTGCGGTGCAGTGCGGTGTAGTGCAGTGTAAGGCAGTACAGGGTGGTGCGTGGCGGTACGGTGCAGGGCAGTGCTGGGCGGGGTGGGGGGGAACCGTACCAGTGAGGAGGACGGGGCCGGGGCAGCGGGGCCAGGCAGGTGCGATCGGGCCGGGCGAGGACGACGGGGCCGGGCGGGCGCGACGGGGCCGGGCGGGCGTGACAAGGCCGGGCTGGTGCGACAGGGCCGGGCCGGGGCGACGGGGCCGGGCGAGCGCGACGGGGCCGGGCAGGGGCGACTAGGCCAGGCGGGGGCGACAGGGCCGGGCCGGTGCGACGGGGCCGGGCGGGCGCGACGGGGCCGGGCTGATGCGACGGGGGCGGGCGGCTGCGACGGGGCTGGGCGAGCAGGACGGGGCCGGGCTTGGGCGACGGGGCCGGGCTGGTGCGACAGGACCGGGCGGGCGCGACGGGGGGGCCCAGGAGGGGCGCTGCAGGGGCCTAGGAGGGGCGCGACAGGGCCCAGGAGGGGCGCTACGGGGCCCAGGAGGGGCGCGACGGGGCATGGGAGGGGTGCGACGAGGCCCAGGAGGGGCGCTACAGGGCCCAGGAAGGGCACGACGGGGCCCAGGAGCGGCGTTGCGGGGCCTGGGAGGGGCGCGACGGGGCCTAGGAGGGGCGCTACGGGGCCCAGGAGGGGCGCGACGGGTCCCAGGAAGGGCGCTACGGGGCCTGGGAGGGGCGCGACGGGACCCAGGAGGGGCGCTACGGGGCCTGGGAGGGGCGCGACAGAGCCCAGGAGGGGCGCTACAGGGCCCAGAAAGGGCGCGACGGGGCCCAGGAGGGGCGCTACGGGGCCCAGGAGGGGCGCTACGGGGCCCAGGAGGGGCGCGACGGGGCCTGGGAGGGGCGCTACGGGGCCTGGGAAGGGGCGCGACGGGGCCCAGGAAGGGGCGCGACGGGGCCCAGGGAGGGGCGCGACGGGTCCCAGGAAGGGGCGCGACGGGGCTAGAGGGGGTCGCGACGGGGCTAGGGGGGCGAGCGGAAGCGGTAGGTGGGGGGGGGGGGATCCTACCTACGCGTGATACCATATCAGAAATTCAAGTAATGGTTGATAGAGAGAGTACACACAATATAGCTAAGTGTTGTACCCTCTAAGAGGCTACCCTATACAGTCTATACAAACATAACAAATAGACATGTTTGACACTGTTCGCGTGACTGAAACGACTGTCCTATGACGAGCGCTATTTGCTGACGTCATCCTACGGACATATGTTCTACAGTAAGATTCAACACTAACTACACTTAATCGACTTACAGAAATGCTAAGTACCAATTATATGACAACACGAGCCACCTCCATGACCAAGCCGATGTGTCGCTCAGCGACCCTATTCTGCTGCGGGGAGTCTATCGAGCGACACCACCAGTCCCTGCTATACATGCCTCAGAAGACCCATATGAAATGAAGCGCGCTGCCTTTGCCAAGATGACCCAAGCAAGCTTTCACAATATGTAATTTTTTGAAAGCGTGTAACACTTTCTAAAAAATGTGTATTGTGAAAGTGTAGCGAGGGCCAACGTAGCAAGGACAGCGTCGAAGCGCTACTCACCATCTTTTGCCTACAAAAGAGGGACGTGAGGCCATTCGACCTCACCCACGTTCTTCATTTCTAGTCCCAGTTTCGTTTTCCCCACCCACCCACCCTATTTGTAGGTGTAGTCTATTGGACGAGAGCCATGTACGCAATCCCATATGAAATGAAGCGCAATGCCTTTGCCAAGATGTCCCAAGCAAGCTTTCACAATATGTTTGCATGTTCGACACCCTTTTATTTTACACCATAAAGGGCTACAATGTCTTTATCAAGCTACAGGAAGAAATTATATCACCAGCATAGGGCTCACTAAGCTCCAAACCAGTGCTTATCTGTCAAACTCAGGCTACCTAGACTTGCCATGCCAGTACTTACCAGTGTTTATTGTACCTAGGTTGTAAAAACCCTACAGTACCTCCCGCAAAATTAAGGAGTCAGCTCAGTAAACCTGCCCTGCCCTCCCCTGTCTGCCTGCCTCCAGTCGCTTCAAAACCCCTCATGGCTGCGCCTGAGCTGGTAGAAGAGCACGTAGGCCGAGGACGAGACAACGGAGGAGGCGGCAATGGGCGACACACCGCTATCGTTGAAGAGGTACCACTGGCCGTCGGCAGGGTTACGGCAGTGCGCCGTGTAGTGCCCTGAGGACAGCGACCCCATGTGGTTAGTCACTGCATACAGATCGTACACCGGGGCTGACCCACTGCTTTGGGGGCTTCCGAGGCTGGCAAGGCTGGTGGGCCTGACGGGGCTGACAGGTTCAATGGCAGGGTTTCCTTGAGAGAGTGAGCTGCTAGGGGAAAGGGAGGAGGGGCAGCAAGAGAGGTAGAGGATGAAACAATGAGGGGCACATGTAGCACAACAGCTATTTACTTGCAGGGATTGGAGAAAAAACAGTAGGTACCAACTCCAGGTTTGTCAGGCACACCAACTACAGCACATACCAACAGTAGCAAGAAAACTTACCTCTGAAACTTTGAGAGGTCAAGGCTGTGCAGATCACAGGAGACGAACGTAGAGTCTTTCTGAAAGAGTGAGAGGACGGATGAAGCCACTCTCTGACGCAGGAAGAGGGGAAGAAACAAGTGGAGAGGGGAAGGGGAGTAAGGGATGGGGAACGTGGGGGAACAGGGAAGTACGATGGGGAAAACTCGGCATGGTTAACTCGAGCATTTAGCATAATGGCGCTGGGAGGGGTGTATTTATAACGTGTATTGACAAATATTTTCATAATGAGGACGTACCTTGATGTGAATAACGAGAATGGAGGGGAACCGCACGATGGAGAGTCGTCTGACGGCCTTGCTGGGCTTCTTGCAGTGCGAGCAGGAGTACTGCAGCAAGCAGGCACGCACACAAGCAAGCAAGCAAGAAGTGGGAAGCAGGAAACGAGCAGAAAGGGGGCATAGCGAGAATGAGGTTCACCTTCATGAAGCAAATCTCATAATGTCTCAGTTACCAACCTAAACATCAATCCAGAAACACCACTGACCGAATGCAGTTGCCAAACCTAACGGCCAACAGAAGTTAGGAGCAGGGGACGAGGGGGTCAGGAAGGAGCAGAAAAAGCAGCTCACCGCGTTGTCCCCCTGCAGCGTTTCTTCCGCCAGGAGCTCCCCCAGGCAGTCGCGGATGGTGGGCGCGCGGAAAGACAGGAAGCGGCGGCGGGGGATGGGCACCGACAGGTCCAGGAAGGGGTCGAAGCAGTGCGAGCGGTGGTGGCACGACAGGCACTCGATGGTGCTCTGCAGCTGCCCGCAAAAGATCCGCTGTATGGGGCTGGCGTACCGCACGCAGTGCTGCCGCCACAGGGCGTCTGCTTGCTCCGCCTCCGGCAGCTGGTCGAGGTTTTCAGGCAGGCTGTGACATTTTGGAAGCTGCCCAACGCAGGTCGAGGCGGGGGAGGGGGGAAAAGGAAAGTAGTGTAAGACGGCAGTGGCATGGGGGACAAGGAGCGAAGCCTACGGGTGACTACTGAGAACATCAGAATGGCAACAACGACACCTCTCATAATCATGCGACACCTCTCGCGCTCACGGACCAGACCTATATAGTTGCATTCTTGCCATGTAGCTAGCCTATACGGAGCGCACTGTGAATCGGAGGAACGTAGCCACACATTACGCACAGACCATACCAACAATCGGCCATGCAAACGACCACTCCCCCTCCTCACTCTCTTAACCTCCCCGCTCTTCTCCCTCTAACTACCTCCCTGCTCTTCTCCCTCTAACTACCTCCCTGCTCTTCCCAGACCTCATGCGAGCGACCACTCCCTTCCTCTTCGCCTCCCCGCCTCTCCCTCTCTCTGTCCCCGTGCGCGCGTTCACACTCTCCCCACTACTCATGTCCCTCATCTCCCTCTCCTAATCCTTTCCACTCCCTCTCCTAACCCTAACGCGTTCACACGCTCCCCCCAGTCACTCACCTCGCTCTGCCCCCGCGTCTCCTCGTCCAGTTTATCCACCAGCGATCGCAGGAACTCCTGCGAGTCGTGCTGCCCGAACCCCGCGAAGTGCGGCACGTGCTTGTGCACGCTCGACAGCAGCTCCGCGGGGCTGATTGCGCCCGCCACCTCCCCCGCCCACAGCTCCGTCACCAGCCGCCCGAAACTCCGCGACACTTCCCGCACTTCTTTCCCCGCGCTCCCGTTTCCGCTTCCCCTTCCGCACTCGCGGTCCTCCGCGCATGTTGCGTGCGCGCCGTGCGCGGGTTCTCCGCGCAGGGAGTCGGGGAGCGCGGGGAGGGGCAGGGGCAGATGCGAGGGGGTGATTGCGGGGCTGTGGCCGCCGTTAAGGCCGCAACCCACGGGCGCGGATAGCGGGCTCCCGATAGAAGAACCTCCGAAGACTAGCCCGCTCTTTAGGGATGTGACGTTGCAGGGAATTCCGGGCGATGCTGCGCCGAAGGATAGAAGCCCCGCGTGCGGCTTCTTGCAGCCACCGCGGCAATCCACCAGCGACGACGACGACGACGTCGCATGAGTCGCATCCGTCGCCTGCAACGGCCCGCTGTAATGGCCCGCCGCGCAACCGTCCTCGGGAACGCCGCAGCCGCGGCAGCAGGCCGAGGTCAACGGCCCGCTGACGGAAATCCCCGGCCGGCATGGGCTGTCCCTTGACGGATTCTGAAGAGACAGCACCGTAGGCTGCTGCTGCTGTCGACTTAAAGCAGCAGCCACTGCCTCACCAGCCTCCCTCAACGACTCTTCCCTAGCGTCAGCCCGTTCGCCTGACCTTCCGCTGCTAATTGCGGCCGACCGTCCATTCCCGGCGAAACCGGTGCGAATAGCAGACGACGGGCCTCGCGTCAAGTCCGTCCGTGGGGGTTCTAGAAGATTCCCTTTAGCGGCGGCGGCGATCTCGTGCACGAAGTACAGCGCGAGGGGCATGGAGTGGCTGAGGCACTGCACGCACGCGTTCATAAAGCACGTGTTGCCTAGATTCTTTAGCCCCACTAGCGGCCGAGGCCGCTTCGATGCCTTCCCGCCCGACCGAAGCCTGAACGCGGCGAAGCCTGTGCGACTGTCGCCGTCGTCGCCGGCGCCGTCGCTTCCGTCGCCGGGCGGCGCTGGTCGCTTGGCGACGCCTGCTTCGACCAGCAGCTGTTGCAGCAACGAGGCGGCCTCGGCGGGCGGCATGGAGAGAAGGTCGAGAGCGGCGGACGCGCATGGCGAGGCGTGCAAGGCAGGGTCGAGGGTGAACGACGTCGACGGCGACGACGACGACGAAGATGACTTCCTGGTTGAACCGTCGCATGACGACAATTCGCCGAAGCGAGCGACGTTTCTAGTTCTAGTTCCGTCCGTCCGCGCCTGCTCCTGCTGCTGCCCGTTCGTCTGCGCGACCATACCGCCTCCACTCCTCATCTCGACGCTCGTAGGAGGCTCTAGCGGGCTGCACGCACTGTTGCTCGCAAGCTCGCAGGCCGGCGACGCACGCGACGGCGACGACTGCGACAACGGCGACGACTGCAACGACGGTAATGGTAACACTGAGAATTCTCGTTCAAGCGGCCAGTCGAGTGAGGAAGTCTCGATGCTGCTGTTCGCACGGCCGTAGAGGCATGAGAGGTAATCAGCCATGCCAGGTGTGCGCGAGCAAAGCTCGTCGTTAGAAGCAATGCAGGCTTGGTTCATGGTGTGGAGAGGAGATGATCAAGCAGCCCTGCTCCCAGTGTCAGGGACTGGGTTGGGTGGAGAGCAAGAAACCGTGCGTGGAGGAGGAACAGTGCCTCGCACTGCACGCTCAGTGCGTGGAAGAGGGGCAACGGAAAGGTCGGAGGGAGGATGGCGGGAGATCAGTCCGAGCTGGGGAGGAAAGGCTCTTGTCAGAGACGCATACCGCAGAACAGTAGCAGCGTGCGGTGCTCTGCTCTGCCCTGCCCTGCATTAGCGGAGCACGGCACACCCACGCAGCCGTGCTGTGTTTCCTCTCCACAAGCGCGGCGGATCCGGGAATCAGGAATCAGGGATTCGGGAATCGGGAAAGGCAGGGGCGGGGTGGCAGGGGCGGGACAAGTCAGGCTTGGTGAGACGAGGGACGTGGGGTCGCAGAGGCGTTTGCTTCGCTGTCTGATTGGTTTGCGGAGCGCGACGCGGCGAAGCGGTTTGGGCGAAATGCCGAACCAAGAAGATTTTGGTTTCTTGTGTCGAGGGCGATTCGCCCCGATGTTTCCTTTCGTTCCGAGAGGTTGTCCTTGCCGCGCTGTAAAAGAAGAACAGCTGTGGTTACCTTCGAGAAAATGCCCATGATGTCGCCAATGGATTTCGCAAAATATCCTGTCGTGAAAAATAAGTTACCAGATACTTCGTGCTGCGCATAGCGAGGCTCGCGAAGGTCAAGAAAGTGCTCTTTCAAAACCTGTCCAGTCTGGATTGGATGGCTACTGCCTAGGCAGCAACTTTGCGGCCCCAGACGGACCAGCAGCACCCAAAGGGTGCTGTTGGAGCTGCTCGGTTTGAAAGTTGGCGGTGACATGACACGTGACGGGTGAGACACTGTATGCCCAAACCAGCTGAACCACACATTCTGGAGGTCCACCTCACAAACAAGGTTTTGTACAGTAATTGTGTTATGATGTGCATGGAGCGAGGTCGGGAATTTCACAAGCGAGAGAGATTACACAATTGGCAACATCCAAGGGTTTTTATTATTGGTTGTTCGGTTACTTTACTAGTGATCCGCGCACTGTACTCACGTTTAGCGCACAGAGATGAGGGTTTTGTCGCTTTCTGAGCAGCGAGGGGAGGTTTAGCGTTCATTTAGGTTAATTTTTCTCTCATTGGATCGCGTTTCACAATTTCATTGGTTACATACTGTAAAGCGTATAAGGAATTACGATTCCTTGATAGGGCTCGCCACAGCGAGTACACGCGGACCTCTAGGTTCCACAGGCTCGGCCCTCAATTCACGCCCCAAATCAGCCCCCGTCGACCTTTTCGGCCCCAACCTGATCCCGGGTCGCCCAAACCCATTTTGACCCCGTCACTGTCGGGACTATCTTGCCCTTGACTGGTCCAACCCTCGACATTCAACCCTGGTCAAATCGTCCTACATATTGCCTAGGCCTCATTATTCTGGACAACATTTCGTAATCACTTTCCCCTATAGTATTATGCGCTATACTCTAAGTTATAATTCATAACAGCTGGTATCAGAGCTACGTTCCTGCCCATTAGGCTTCCGGTAAGGGAGCATACCCTATCGGGGAAGGGGGCGGAAGGATGCTGATGGCGAGCGGACGTCGCGGAGATTAATTGCGCCGGCGTTGCCGATGCCGTCGGGTTTTGTCCGATGGACGGCTAGGATTGGCCGGTCCTCCCCTTCCCTGGGCGTAGACGGGATTATTTCCCGTCGAAGAGTGGGCGACGTTTTCGCTGTGTTTTTCGGGTATGTTCGTTAGAGCTTTCGGAATTTTATAGTGTTCGGACGGAGTCTTCGGATTGGCTTCCGAAAAAAAAAACGAAGGCTTTGTCATGAGGAGACAAGTGCACGTGAGTCCTCATGCGGCAGGGAGTTGGTCGCCAGGAGCGCGCGAGGTGACGAAAATGGCGGGATCTACGCCGATGTACGTTTGGCACGCCATGTAGCAGCAGGGTGAACTGTAGCTGTGTCGCGGGTCCCGGCACTTCCGGCAGGCTAGCTGCAGGCGATGGACGGAACTTTAACACTATTTTGGCAATGGGCAGATTCAACAATTTCGGAACGACACGATCGTGCGCAACTGGATTTGTGCCCGCTAGCTTCAGGGGTACGAGTGACATCGACCGACATTTGCGGAGTGTTTTGGTTCTATGGAAGGGAAGGAGAGCAGCAGCTGTTTCATCTCTTTCCAAAGTTTTCGGCATGTACGGACAAAGAAGCTGATGCAGCTGGCGTCCTTTGATCTTGAGTTTATGTTTTTTTGTTTTTCCATGGAGCACTTCAGAACATGTTACAAGTCATCGCCATCGTCGTCTTCGTCTCGCCACCACCCGCTACCACCTCCATTCTCCATTCGCCTACTTGTGTGAACACGACCCCGCCTCGCCATCCGAATCTATATCAGCAATATCGGAGCGAGAAGATTTTTCCGCAGTACTGTTGGAGCTGTGCTGGGACCAGCTCGCAAGCAGTGTTCCTACTTGGCAGAATTTTAATTTCGTCTGGGAGTCTTCCGGAGCGGTTACTTCCGAGTTTCAAGACCCTTTTAGTGGTTTACCTTGAAGGAGTTTTCCATTCTGAAGCAGTTTGGGAGATCTATATGTTGGTGTATTCTCACTCGCGTCTTCGAAGCAGATTTCTGGGACTGTAAGAATCCGTGTAGGAATTCTCAGCGTTGGAGTTTTGCAGCGGCACTTTGGAAGCTGAGTATCAGAATTTTCAGCTGCGGCGTGGGATTCTTTCAACTACCCTGGAGCATAGGGGTTTCCTGGAGTTCTACCTAGGAAATCGGGAGCTGTTTTCTCTTGGAGGGGGGAGAAGGGCAGCTGTGCTGCAATTTTTTGTCTGACCCTTCTCGCGTGTTCCATCATCCATATTCGACCGCCATTCGTCACCGTTACGCTTCCGCGCCTAATTTCGTTGTTTCGTTGATGGAGTTCGCTGACTTTCGTGGGACACGGACGAGTGCTCTCGCATGTGACTCGACCGACCTCGCGTTTGATGAACGGGTTCTTCATTTCATCGACCATCACGTTATTCGCCAGTCATCATGTCAAGATATTCACCTGCCACACGCCAACATCAATCGACCACTCGACAAGTTTCACTGTTCATTGTCTTCCGCTGGAGTATTTACCTTGTCCCGTTTGGTCAGCAGAAGAATTCGACCATCTTCGACAGCTGAGATTAAAAGCGATCGTCTCGACATTTTCTGACCATTGATTTTAGTTCGACTTCAAGACCTCGTCAGGCCAGCGTAATCATTACGCTCGTCACAGGGCAAAAGACTAACAGTCACATCGGGGATTACTTTTAATGACTATTCGGCCTCGATAAAGGGAGTGCCTTCTTGTAGAAGGTGGGAGAGTGTAAGGAATTACGATTCCTTACTGGGGCTCGCCACAGCGAGTACACGTGAACCTCTAGGTTCTGCAGGCTAAGCCCTCAAGTCACGCGCCAAACCAGCCCCCGTTTACCTTTTCGGCCCCAACCTGATCCCGAGTCGCCCCGAACCCATTTTGACCCCGTCACCGTCGGGACTATCGTGCCCTTGACTGGTCCAACCCTCGCCATTGCACCCTGGTCAACTCGCCCTATATATTGCCTACGCCTCATTATTCTGGACAACATTTGGTACTCACTTTCCCCTATAGTATTCTGCGCTATATTTTGAGTTACAGTATAATTCATAACACCTCGGCATTCCGATGTTCTCAGCAACTGTTCCCGAAAATCCCTGTCAACTACAGAGCATGTCGCTGGGCAGACTTGGAAACAGAATGAGCCTCCAGTACCGTCACTTTCTGACGGCAAAATGAACAGCGAACAAAAATTTCAGACAGATAAAACATGACGACAATACCCAATGGCTGGGTTCTGCACGCACCTTACATCGACGTCGATGTCGACATCGAGGAAGCTCCTCAAGCGATTTGACGGAAAAATGATGATAAAAATAACCTAGGGTTTGGAGATGCACTCACTATCCCACAACCTCAGGGCAGGCCCAAGTTTGCTTTTGTTGGGATCAAGCTTTGGCGGTTGCATTTTAGGGGTGTGGAGGCCTAGTGCACCCATGCGGCTAATGAAACACCGCACGGAAAGGTGGACTCCGCGATTGAGCAAACGTCAACATTGCGTCAAGTGTGCGTCCAATTTGCCAGGGAGGGAAGCGAGGGAGCGTGCTTCCGTGACGTTGATGTCATCAGTAGGCGGACGCGTTCTGCAGGCACCTAGATGTAACCAGATTCGAGTACGTTGTGCAAGGTTTGGAAGGATTTTTCGGGTTGACCCTCGATCCGTGGCAAAAATTCGCGCTTTCGGAAAGTTCTCTGATGTGATCACTACATTCCTTTTTGGCCTGCAGAACGCAGCCAATGTGGGATTGTGCATTAGTGCGACCGGATTGTTCACTTACATTTCATTTCGATGTTATGAAATAATATTTTACAGACATTTTTTTTCAACTCATGTTTACAACATTATTAACAAAAAGGTGTTAGAATACTAGAATGAATAGAAAGAAGAGAGAACAAGTGAGATATAGGGTTTGGGTTGTACTCTCTAAGAACACACACCTATTCTAGCCTATACCTTCTACATGCAAATGTATGTATAAGTTGACACACCCCCTAGGCTAGATAAGGGGTAGTGCGGAGCAAGAAGCACACAGCTCAGGATGGCACTACTAGTCCAACCTCTGAGACAGGGTTCCGAAGACCAGTCAGCAAGAGTACAAACAAGACAGAAGCAAACCAGGATGACACTACTACTCCGGCCACTGGAAGAGAGGTCACAAGGCCAGTCTAAAAGACATATATAAAGAGGAGTACACAATCAAGATCCAAGCAAGTGAGAGTCTATTGGAACCAGACTAAGTTGCAAACAGTGCCGCTGATGATCTTTAGGCGCAAGCGCCATAGTAAAGATATCAGCTGTGTTGGCATCGGAGGCCAAGTGTACTACGTGGGCCTGGCGGCGCTACTGTAGCTCACGCATGATGAAGTACCGCAGCTGGATGTGCTTCGCTCTGCCCTCAAGTCAAGGCTCCTGAAACAGGGGTCAAAGCCCTGTTGTCAGCGTATAGAGCCGGGG